CATATAAATAGTTTATAAATTAGGCATGAGTTGGACATCAACATGTTTAAATCAGATTTGCGTCATATTACAATTTTGTTTTTAAATAAACACGTATTGCTTTTAGTATTATCAACATATAGATATTACTTTGAAACACAGACGAAATAGATGATTGCAATATTGTATACATAGAGTTATAATTTTTAACGGTTTATCACGTTTAAGCACTTTGCAACGATGCAATCATGAGATGTTTGTATTGAAATAAATAGCAAACATTTTAGTTTTCTGAGCACTGTAAATGCATATAGTCCAAGCATGTTGTTCAATAATGATATAGGGTTATCAGAAGCTAGATAACCCAAATGGAACTTATGCTAGATGTCTTTGAGGGGGGTCTCTTGCGCATTTTATTTATCTTACGATGACAACAGACGTAGTTTATAACTAATCTCTGAAATACTTTTTATTTGATTAACTTTAGACGTTAAACATGTTGCAAATAAGATTTCTCTTATATTTTCTGCTATTATTTATTTTAAGTAAAAATTTATTTGCATGCGTGGTATTTTCTATTTATTTATTTACGACAAAAGTGGACATTTACAAATATTAATTGAGGGTATTGCATGAAAATGATATATAAGATAAAATTGAAAATTCTACAACTCTAAAGCAGTGATTGCTCATATTTCTAGATTATATTGTAAAAATGAAGAGAGAGATACAAAAAATATTATTTGTTCAAAAAAATTTTCAATCATATTTTTTCAAGTTTCTGAATAGTTGGGTATTTTCAGGATATTCCGCCCGACCTGTCTACAGTGAGTATAATAGCAACGAGATTGTCGAGTGCAGCGTTTGCAATGATAACTCGATGAATTATACGATTTTTAATATTATTTTTGAATTCAGACAAGAATTTTCTTTGTAGGACTAACCAAACTTATATCGTTGCTATACAGCACAGTGGTATCCCCATGAATGAATGAATCATTTGATCAAAGCATATTGATATTCCGAATGAGAGGGCAAAATATTAATATAATAGCAGTACATTGTTAGTCATTAGTATAGTGGGGTACGCACATATATGTTTCATTGGGTACTAATTATTGAAGCTTAAATCAGTGTTATTGTCCAAGTGCACTAATCAAGTATTGCCTATCCTATTAATGCTTAAATAGTATAGGAATGTCAATGTGTTATCTTGGTAATAACTTGCCTTGTCGATTAAGCGATTGTGGGAAGATATCTTGAAACAGTTATTAATAGCTTCTTGTGAACCTTATACTTATTACAAATATTGGTTTACTAAAAATATATTCATTGTTTACACAATGCATTTCTCTAGAGAACAATGTACTAATATCGATGCTCTTTAATTCACAGCTCTAAATTCTCTTTTATATAATTTAGTACAGACATATTTGTTTGATAAAATTTATTTCTACACTTGTGATATGTACTTGTAAAATATCTGTTACATAAATATCTGAATGTTTGCCCTCTTGTTCATGTCACATCATCCTTTGCTATATGAGGGCAAGGGACCGAGATGCATTGTGTTTCGTTTTGCGTTCATAATTTTAGATATTTTGCTTCACTTACAATAATTGTTGAGAGTCTAACTGGGGTGCATTTGCAACGTTGTTCCCTGTCAAATTTTATGAATACATATTTCCTGAAAAGTAGTATCTTAGTACATAGCCATTGTATTCATATTTTGTCCCCTCTGTAAAAGATTTCTTTCAGCAATTTATTTCCAAAATATTTAGTAAACCATCTTGGATTTTCCAAAATGTCCATATAGGTAGTCGAAATAACAAAATTAATAATGTATCTTTGAAATTTATATTTAGTTTAAAAGGTAAACAGATTCTGTAATTCTCTTGTAATATTTCCGGTATGCTTTTGAGAAATTTTAATAGCAATTTCTTTAAATTGCAGGATATTTCCAGTTGCAAATGGACTTGAAGACTCGTCCAAATCTTCTCGAAACTTATCTATTCAAATGTATTTTACAGAGCCGTGCGCCCATTTCTGCAAAACTAGTGGCGAATATGCTTTCCGTCGCGGGTGCTGATCACATAATCACAATGGACCTGCATGCTAGTCAAATACAAGGATTCTTCGATATCCCGGTAGACAATTTATTTGCTGAACCAGCTGTTTTGAAGTGGATCAAAGAGAATATCGTTGAGTGGCGAAATAGTATCATTGTCTCTCCTGATGCGGGTGGTGCTAAAAGGTAAATAATTTAAAGAAAAGAAAATTCATTTTTATTAAAATAATATATCAAACATTTTTCGTTTTACAGAGTCACATCTATCGCAGATCGATTAAATGTTGAATTCGCGCTTATCCATAAAGAGAGGAAGAAGGCAAACGAAGTCGCTAGTATGGTGTTAGTCGGAGACGTCAAAGACAGAGTTGCGATCCTCGTTGACGATATGGCTGATACCTGTGGTACTATCTGTCACGCAGCGGAGAAACTTTTGGAAGCTGGTGCCACCAAAGTTTATGCAATACTTACACATGGCATATTCAGTGGTCCTGCAATTAGTAGGATTAACAATGCTTGCTTTGAGGCTGTAGTAGTGACCAATACTATTCCTCAAGATGGTCACATGAAGGATTGCCCAAAGATTCAGGTAACTGTTTCATAAACTAAAGAAATTCTCATACTAAATTCTTTTATCATTATGATAATCGTAACTGTAATATAATAGAAATGAATTCAATAAACTTTTATCTCTTTCAGTGTATTGACGTCTCGATGATGTTTGCCGAAGCCGTTAGACGGACTCATAACGGTGAATCTGTATCGTACCTGTTTTCAAATGTACCGTATTAGACAAAAAATCTTCCGTATCTACCTTTTCTCAAACTGCGCAAGAAAAATCATTTGTTTATTATTATTGTTAGTTAAAGATAACTTCGTCTACCTGCTAGTCAGGTAGGTATATCTGTGTCCTAATTCCAAATTGAGATTACTTGATCTATTTTTTCACGAACATCTAACAAATGTGACATAGATCAATATGGAATCATAATGAATTTTTAGGATAGAATAGATATATATTTTTTCTTTAAAACTTAGTAATCCAAGCATTATCCGAATTTAAAAAAAACCAGGAACAATGCATAATGCTTTTAGAATTTTGTTGTGATTGAATTTATAGCTTCAGCTCTATAAAACAAATGACATCGCATCCTTTTTATCTACTTAGATTTAAAAAATAAGAGAAAGATCGGATCTCTGTTATGTGACGAGATCACTAGTTATTTAATGGATCGAAATTTTTGTAAACTATGAATAAAATGTCACCAATGCACATAAATCACATGAAATGTAATTTACCAACAAGGAGATAGAAATCGCATATTTAAACAAGTTTTAAACTTGCAATATCTAAAATTTTTCGTATATTAGTACAAAAAATCACATAAATAAATTTTCATAATTATACTGAATAAGTATTATGATTGTGTATATAATGGAAAAATAGCTTTTTAATGCGATTATAATAATTTACTATGCTAGCGATATTAAAATGAAAATAGGCTGCTAGAGCTAAATGCAAATTGTGTTTCTATTCCGTAAAATAACTTCGGACCAATGTAGTCTCAAATGTGACAGTATATAATTGCAAATTTTTCCTAATGAGAAAGTGCCAATTGGGTTGTTACTCAATTGGGCATATAAATACATAAAATACAATAAATACATAAAAAGTAAAACATAAATTTTATTACTGAAAATTACTTCGAAGGAAACGTATATTCAAGATATCTAAATAAAAGTTTCCTTTCCACAACTGATTCCTTTACTAATTCGATCATTCTTTAACAAAAACTTAACAACTATTAAATAACTGTTAAAAATGATTAAAAATAAAAGATAAATATTAGAAGCTAATTTATAAAAAACATTGCATAACAATATATATAATTTATAAAGTTTTTATTTAAGAAAGATCACAAATTAGATTATCTCTTACATGTTATTATTAAGACCTTACAAATTGTATGAAAAAGAAAGGCAAATTAATACTTACAGTCTATGCTTTATACATGTCATGATTGAATTAAGGCAAGAAACTATATAAACTCCTACATAATTTATATGTCGATCTTTTATCAATTTTTTTCTGTTTGTAAGATCTGACATACTCCTGATGTAACATTATGCAGTATAGTATATATTAATTTCAATTTAGCTGGTGGTTTATGATTTTTGAACACCAGGTGGTAGTGTTATATCAAACACTATTGGTGGATTACTTGGCAAATAATTCAAATCACATGTCGATGCATTAATATATATGATTTTGCCGTCTGAAGATATGCCATATCCTGAAATAAAATAAAATTGAATATTTTCATATAAATCTAAATTTGGTTAAAATTTTATCATACCTTCATGTATGTGACCAAATACATGATATTTGGGTTTCACACGATTTTGCACCGTTGACAATAATTCGACACATCCAGCGCGTACATCAGTACAGCACAGATCTCCGTGACCTACAGGAGGAGTATGCGTTACGAGGATATCTGTATTTGATGGAATCATTTCCCATTTAGAGAGGCACGCTTCCCCACGCGGCACGTTAAATGCCCACTTACAAAACTCTGGTTGCCTAAAGTTTCAACAAAATATCCCTCAGAAATAAAAATCTCTTTTACCTGAAATTATTTTCTATAAATATCTTTTATAGTATGTTCACAATGCACACATAATCTTTTGATTACACTTGTAACGATTAAATTGATCTTATTCACAGCATATTAACACAGGAAATTCACAGTTGAAATGTTACAGTTGTTTACTTAATTCTAGAATATCTAGAGAAAGATATATATAAGAAATATATTTTTCAAAATATTTAAAAAATAATATAAAGTTATTCACTTTTATGTATGTAATAAGCTTAGCTTTTTTCATTCCAATTTATATAAATATTTTATTCAGTACATTATAAATCCTATATTTATTTACTACTAACTTATCGAGAAATACAGTAAAATATTTACCATGGAGTACCGTATATCTTGATTCCATGCAATATAATTTCAGAATCTTCCAAATATGTACAATTTGTCAAATAATCTTTAACATTAGTAGTTTTAATAGCTTCGGCAAGAGTATCTTTTGACATACCCAAGGTAGGTATATTGTCAAGTATACTGGTTCCTGTATGTTTCTGATGATCCCCACCAGTATGCACAGAAAAAGGGTGTGTGAATGTTGGATCAAAGCTAAGTTCATGATTTCCAGCTATAACTATTTTATGTTTATGTGGTAAATTGCCTGAAATTATATAATACATATAATTATATATTAACAAATTTGGAAACACTGACATTAGATAAAAAACAAATTTTTGTTCATATTTCTTTGATTTACTATCCGTTAATATAAAAGTATATATAGCATGCTGTTAATTTACCTATCCAATTATTGAATTCTATGACTTCTTGTAGACTACCACATTTCGTAAAATCTCCGGCGTGTATGAAAACGTCTCCAGCAGGTATGTCAAATTTTATGTATGGTGTGAGTGAATGCGTATCGCTCATACATACTATACGCAACTAAAAATTAAAATGTATTGTTAATTTATGTGTTGCTCAAAAAAATGTGTATGTTAATAATGATAAAATGATAAGAAGAGAAGAACTTGATTTTATTTACACTTTCAATATTTAAATTAACAAATTTGGAAACGTTGACATTCAATAAAAAACTGATTTTTGTTCTTATATTTCTTTGATTTACTACTCATTAATATAATAGTATATATAGTGTTGCATGCTATTAATAATTATATTATAATTAATGATACAACAAAAAACGTGTAGAATAAACAAAAGTAATTTTGAGGTTAACAAAAACACATATCTTTTTATAAAGAAATTAGGACAGTAAAAATTATTAAACGTACTTTATCGCTTGGTGCCTCGGTCGTCGGCAATTTAGCAGTTATGTTAACAACTTTCTGATGCTGAGATAACTCGCGCCAGGCTGCTGTAGGATCTGCTGTCAACGGATGAATCTCTATCTTCATGCTGAACGAGATAAATGCGATAGTCTGTCGCTATGTCGCTACTTTCAACTACAGTACATACATGAGATTTGCTCGAAGTTTTAGCAACACTTTATTGCGTTCTATATATTTATTATGTGAGTTATTATTAATTTTTTAATTTTATCTTTAATTTTTCACACGTGAAATACGTACAGATGTCAAACTGTCAGACAGGGTTTTGTTTTTTATAAATAAATATTACATCAACATATAATATACAATAATGAAATAATATTAAAAATTACTACTACTTTATTTAAATAAAATAATAACAAATATTATCATTTTTATTTTTATGAAAATAAAAATTACTTTATTAAAGTATAATGTATATATTAAAATTTTGCTTACTCTTTTTGCAAAGTTATAGTAGATAATATACATTAAAATAATGATTATAATAAATAAGTAAAACTGAAATAATTTTCAAGTTTTATTCTAATATTAGCTACAGTATAGTATAGTATTATAGTACAGTATAGTGTTATATAATATAATATAAAAGTATCGGCTCGCTGCAAATATCTTTATCAGTTTTGTCACCACAGTATTATTCGTAATTATTGAGCATTTTTCTTTGCTAAATCTCGCAAATGTTTCCGAATTAAAACATTCCATTCATCGGGTCTATTTTCTGTATACCACTCAATTATATGTTCCAAAATAATCTTTTGCTTTTCCGTGCATTTTTTGCATTGAGTCTGAAGAGATTCGGAAAAGACTTCTAAAATCAAAATAATAGACTTATTAGTTTTAATTTATAGTAATTAATTGAGACATTGAATTCATTGATAACGAAGTATATAATGCGGTGCATTCCAGTATAAAGTTTACTGATGTATATGTACCTCGAAAGAATTTCATATCTGCTGTCTTGCAGGGCGCAGTTTCCATGAAACATTTATAATATTGATTTCGTAGTTTATTATTTGCTAGAATGATATCGACATCGATATAGTCATACTGACTGGTGTATAATTCCTCTGCGAAAACGAACACTAGTGCAATACCAATAAACACAATACAGCTTAGCTGAACCATCCTTCCTATTTTTATGCTAACTCTTGCACCAAAAATCCAATTCTTGTACTGAACATTCGATCTGTTCATCTCTTTATATAGGTAAATCATAGGTATAAGTGGGGGGGGAGGTCAAGGGGAGGGGCACAGCCCCTCTCAGAAATTTCGAAATTAATTTAAATAGTAAGTAATTGGGCTTGTTCGTTTTAGCTACACTGGGGCTGCTCTGGGTCTGCTCTACACAGGATAATACAGGACAGATAAATAGTTTGTCCTGTATTATCTTGTTTAGAGCAGACCCAGAGCTGCCCCAGTGCAGCTAAAACGAACAAGCCCATTAAGAATAAAAAATAATAATTAATTTAAATAAAAATAATTTTGGCATGCAGCACAGAGTTATGACGTGAAAAAGTTAGAAATATTTTAATGTCTTTATTTGGTTTAGAATTATTATCATATCATTAAATAACCGTTCAATAAAAGATAATAGGAATTTAAAATTCACAGGTAGGAGGGAAAGATCATGGCCTTCCGCAAAAAAGTTTCCTGGTCCGTTCCTTTTACTAATGAGATAACGTACTAAGGTAAAAACTTGTTATGTTAAAATTATGTTTAGTAAGAGATCGTTTAACCTTGTGAGAGATGGCCAAAGTAAAAACTTGTTTTGATGATAGTCACATATGTGATTCTTTAAATAAAGGATGAAAAAAACTATATAAAAAAAATCAATTTACGGTTGTCTTTTTTTATCAATGCAGCTTAGCCGACCAGTAGTAATATGCCTGCGTTCCGAAATTCACTGCCAGTACTGAAAACCTGCAATATACGTAACGTAAACTATAAATTTTCAGTACTGGCAGTGAATTTCGGAACACAGCCTATCCCAGATAGCACAAGTAATCGTATTGAATTCCAAAAGAATTCGCATTTTCGACTTCTTAAAGACCTTAGTATTTCTGTTTAAAAAGAACTGAAATAGAATTTATTTTTGCATGATCAAAATGATAGAATTATAATGTACTCTTTAAGACTTCAAAAACGATTTTGATCTAGACTTCTTTAAGAATTATTTTTTTTTACTTGTAAAGAGTTCCGAAAGAGTTCCTTTGCGAAAGGTCCAAATAGACGAAAAATAAGTACTCATTAAGAATTTATTAACAGTATCATTTTTTAGAGGTCTGCGCATGAGCAGTGTGATATGTTTGTTGTTATCATGGCAACGAGTTTCACGGCAGCGCTGAGTGTCATTGTTGACATTAGAATTCCGCACTTTGAGCGATCGAGATCGAGCTGCGTGTATTCTGTTTCTATAATTTAAGTGCCGTGAAAATCGCGTTTTTCTTCGTCTCTTTTGTTCTACTTTTTCTACCTCTGTATTTCTATTGCATTTTCTTTCTTTTTTTCTTCTTTCCTTCTTTTGTTTCTCTGTGTGTCTCTTAATTCTCTCTCTTTCTGTCTCTTTCTTCTACTATCTCCATCAGTTAATCAAACACTGACGTGCTGTAACCTACTAAACGGTAAGGACATTGTCAAATTTTTTTTAACCCTATTCTTTAATTCAATCTTCTCGTCTGTTTTTTAATGCACATGCACGAAAGAGATGATATATTTTCCCAGAATTTTTCGGAATCCGTGATCCGTGTCTCGCTATAATTCTTTTGTAGAATGAGTCTAAAATTTTCCTTGTATTCCTTTATCGATATTCGCCGTCGCGACACACATATCACAGCTACGCCTATCGCACAATCTCTTATCGCATCTCGCACGTGTGCCTCATCTTTGTGACGGCGATGGTCGCGATACTCTTTGTGAAAATGGCCCGCTCGGTACCGATATTTACTTTGTAGTACACGTGCGTCGAAAGTAGCCTATTACGCGCATGCTTTACGTGCGGAAAGTAGCCAATTTCACACGCAACATATTACCGCACGCTTCAAACTTATTACCGCACGCTTCCGGTTTATTACCGCACGCTTCCGCTTTATTACCGCACGCTTCACTTATTATTTCATTACAAAGCAACGCCATCTTGCAGCGCGATAGAAAATAAATAGCCATTACTTCTTCCCTGTCCCAAAGTCTAATCTCAATTGCGCCCAACACGCAGTGACACATGTAAGAAACTGGTAAGGTAAAAAGCGTCTTATCATTACACTTACCCCGCACTTATACTACAATAGGCTACTTTCGACGCACGTGTACTACAAAATAGCATATGTATCAAGTGCGGGATGGCAATTGCCAACTCGTGGGTAGGGAGGGAATGGTCGCACGAGCCGAAGGCGAGTGCGACCATTCTCCCCTCCCTACCCACTCGTGGGCAATTGCCAACTTCCCGCACTTGATACACAATATACTATTATCGATGATACAAGACACAGAAATTAGATTGAGGTTGCAAGAATGATATTTATCTCTCGATATCAATAATTCTCGGTGACACACGGTCTCGTCGATGAATTTATACGTATGATCTGTATTATATAACACTTAATTATATTTTGTTTACTAGAAATAATAATTTAAAGACATATTTTTAGATGTCTTTAAGATATAATAGATATCTTTTAGAAACGCCTTAAAGACATATTTTAAGAGAAATCATTTAGATATCTTTAATATGTCTATTAAAAATATATTAAAGATATCTTTTAAGAGATCTTTTAGATGTCTATAGATATCTTTTAGATATTCTATAAAGATATCTTCAACAAAACTTTTTTAGACATCTTTTAAATAACTTCTAGATATCTTTTAGAAATATCTTGAAGACATCTTGAATAAAATATCTTTTCGATGTCTACAAGATTTTGATGTTTACTGGGAAATACCTGTTTTATAATGTTAAATTCATGACTCACAAGATGCCAAGATGTTTTTTAAATATATATTCATAAGTAATGTATATTTATCTCAAATAGCACAGTGAATTTGTTAAGTATTCTTCAAGTTTTATTCTTTTCTATGTAATTCTTTTCATTGTAATTCTTTAGAAATTCATAAAAGAATACTATAAGAATGATTCAGGAACTCAAATAGCACATGTTCTTTTCAGAAACGTTTCACAAATGTTTCTTTAAAACGTTTCATAACGGTTCTTAAAAGCGTTTCTCATTGGTCAATCTGAATGGGTAAAATGTCAATCTGATAGCGTTTTCGAATAAACGGGGTTTGAACGATCTAGGGTTGATCAATCAATGGGCTTGTTCGTTTTAGCTACACTGGGGCTGCTCTGGGTCTGCTCTACACAGGATAATACAGGACAGATAAATAGTTTGTCCTGTATTATCTTGTTTAGAGCAGACCCAGAGCTGCCCCAGTGCAGCTAAAACGAACAAGCCCACTATTTTACTATAAATGCAAGTCTTTCATTGGTGGAGAGGTTGCAATGACGTCATTAATCAATCTTGGGTCGTTCAAATCCTGTATAATCGAAAACGCTATGAGGTG